CCCCCCTCAGCCCCCAACACTAGTCTCTCTCCACCCACCCACCCCAACCTTTTACACACCCCTCAGACAAGCCCCGTCCCCGCAAAGGAAACTGTGGAGTCCCTTTGCAAAATTAAAAGGCTCTAGAGAACAACATAGGAGAGGGACTGGAGTCTTGCTTAAAAGTCAAGAACCACAATACAATTATTTTATTTTCACAGCCAGAGGAATAGTCTGAGCTGTTTCTTCTCCAAGAGGGTGGATAATAATCCTAAAGAAAGCAATACAAATCTGGCTAAAGCCTTCATCAAATAAAGTGCACAAAGCAGTGGAAGCTAATCCCCAGCCCCCTCCCCCCACCCAACAAATTAACAGAAACTCTCCACTCCTCCCTAAGGAACTCCTAAGGTCCTGGCCTACCAACTTTAATAATAAAAATAATAACTAACACCATTTAGCAATAATAAGCATTTCACAACAAGCATTTATTCAGTGTTCATTCTGTTCCAGGCACTGTGCTAAGTGCTGTGCATAAATTATCTCAGTTTTATCCTTCCAACTGCCTACAAGGTAGGTACTATATTGATACTTAAATTTTCCAGATTAAGAATATGAGGCTCCGAGAAGTTGTGACCTTTCTAAGTTCCTATGGCCACTAAGTGGCAGAGCTGGGAGTGGAATGAAGTCTCTGATCTGACAGCCCAAGCTCTAAGGTACATTAAAAGGGAAACCATTTTTTTCTAATACCATAACCAACCCCAGGACTTAACTCAATAGAGAAGGGCAGCCATAGCTATCAACTGAGTCTTCTTCCCTCAAGAGAGAGATCCACCCACCTACAGAGAATAAACACATTGACTTTTCATTCTAATACTGTTTCTTGACCCTTCTCCTTAATATTGGGGATGGAGGTGGTGGTGCCATTGATTAAGATCAGCGATGAGCAGGTGTCCAGTGAATCCCTCATACCACACACAGCTCATCTCCTGTGGGTAGTTATCTTGCCACCACTCTCACTTCAACACGAAGTGAACACTGGAGCATTAGGACACTTGGCAATGCAGCAGGTGGAAAAGTTAAAAAAAAAAACACACATCTGGGAGGCTCTTTCAAGGGGGGAGGAGGCTTGCAGGGAAAGCTCTTATGTGCCAATCTAGGGAAAAGCGATCCAGAGTTCTCTTAGCCCAGCAAAGGGGTAAAGTCTTTCCACCACACCACACCCGTGCCCCTCCCCCTCACAAAACTCCAGGCCACGGTTTCCCACCTGCAGGATGCTAAGGCCAAGGAAAGGGAAAGAGGGAAAAGATGGCACGGGGATGGAACTGGACTCGGGGCAGAGGTGGGGGGCCGGAATGGATAGGGGAGGAGGCCTCATTGCCTGGCAACCATCCCGGGGCACGTGCACTGGTGACATCATCCCAGGCCACCTCTAACACACACCTTTGACCCCTAGGGGCGGAGAGGGGCCGCTGGCTAAGCTTCCTGGGAAATAGCCTTAGGAATTCTGGGAACCCAAAAAGGAGAGAAAGGTGGGACTTGGACCCAGGCATCCTGTTCTGTCTTTATCTTTTTTACTCCCGACACGGCTCCAATTCCAGGGACTTGGGCCTCTCTACTCCACCTCTCCGCTTACGACCCTGACCTGCCAACCCATATTTCTGTCGGGAGTCCCGACACGCCTCTCGGAGATACAGTGCGTTCTCTCTCCCGGGCAAGATCTCAGGTGGGAAGCAGGAGATATGGGGCGGGGGTACAGGGTCCCGCAGGACTTCGTCTCCCATCTGTGGGATCCCGCGTGCCCCTGCCGGCCGCCGGCCGGAATCTGTCTGGGTCCCTAACTCTCCTGCCCCTCCCTACGCTGTTCTAGGGCGGAGTCTGTGGAGTTGAAACCAGGACACGGCTGGAGGAAGAGTTATATAACTGGGAGAGGCCGGGAAGGACGAGTGGAGACGGGCACAGACAGTTCGAAAGAAGCCGAGGGAGGTGCAAAGAGCACCAGGGCGAGTGGGGAAGAAACATTAGGAATGGGAAGGATTTTGGTGCACATCAAAGAAGAGGAATTCACTCGAATAAGGGGCGTGATGGCCCGGGAAGAATCACCAGAGCTGTCCCGAGCTTCCCCGCAGCGCTCTCGCCCGCCACCAACAGCAGTTGGGCCTGAGATAGTGAAGCCTCCGGAAGGGGCGCTGGTACCCGTTCCGTTCCTCTTGAGGAGGCAGCCCAAGCCAGAACCCGGGAAGGCAGCGGCGGAGCATAGGGGCCAGAAACCACAGCTCCGCCCAGCCCACCTGGGAGAGTGGCGCGCCAGCTGGGGGGTTGGTGGTAAACAAGTAGCCGGCCCATTCCACCCAAGGCTGAGCATTAATGGTTCGAGACCTCGCGAAAGATGGCAGGCGTACCCAGAGGTCTGGGTCCCAAGGGGGTGAAGAGCACAGCCTAGGACTACTATACAAACACAGACTCAAGATGGGAAGTGGGGCAGCGGGCACCTACTTGCGGCGCAGGCGCAGGGGAGGGATTCGGTCGCGTGTGGCAGAGGGAGGGGCGGTGGGCGCGAGCGTGTGGGAGTGCACGTGCGGGTCCAGGACAGCTACTCCTTCCTTCCCTCAACCTCTGCCCCTCCCCTCTCCCTCTTCCTGTCGCTCTATGATGCCTCCACCACATTGGCTGCCAGGGCCCTGATGTCAGGGACGTCCGCTGGAGCGGATTGGGCGGACGCGAGAGTTCGGGAATCTGGCTCTGAAGTGTGGCTCTCCAGTTACTCTGGCAACCGGGCAAGCAACCCCCGGGGGGAAGGGGAGGGGAACTCAGTGCAGCGCTTGGGTCCTGCCTCCCTCCCGACGACCATCGAGTCCATTTCGGTGGCAATTCGCTGTCTCCTTCCTTACTCCCGGATAAGCAGGCGTCCTACCCTCGACCTTCCCCAGTCTCCCATCCCAAGTCACAGCCACAAGCCACCTTAGACTGGAAGCGAATCTACGTTGCTTAGGAACCAATCCATTTGCCCCTCCCCACTATTTACCCCAGACCGGAGAGGCGAAAACTGAGTCCCCAGTCACCTCCCCATCTTCTGCCCTCCCGCCCACAATTTCCTATGAGGGGCCGAGAATACTGGAAGTCAAAAGAGCACCTCAGCCCACTTTTCCTTCCGGCCGGGGCGGGGGGCTTCAGCTGTTTCATGGCTTTATCCCCCACCTCACTCCCCTCAGTTCGGGTTGTGCGTCTCGCCCTCGCCATCTTGTGGCTACGTCGGGAAGGTTCAGCACGAAAAAGGGCAAGGGCTGGGAACCGGAGAGGGCAGTGGGACAGGACTAGGGATGAGGAGACGAGCAGGGTGAGACCGAGTGAGGGAGGTGATGTGCGGTGGAGTGGATGGGGCGGAGGCCACCGCAGGGAGGTTATCGGGGCTCCTGGTGTGAGGGTCAAAGCTAAGGCTATACCCATCACCCGTGGGAAGTCCTGGGAGGAGACTCAGTGGCCCAGGGACCTGAGACAAATCCCTGCTTGACCACGTCCGACCTCCAGAGGCCATCGCATAGATCTGCAAACTCTGACCTTTAGTCCTGGCCTTTGAGTGTTAGGAACGGCCGCGTCCCGCCCCGCCCTATTGTCGGGAAGGGGAATCCCAGCCCTAGGGGGGCTGGGAGTCCTTTTAGGCCTTTCTTGACACCCAAAACCCAAGCCATCTGCTTCCCAGCTCTTCCCCCATCCCACCCTGCTCTCTTCTAGGTGACTCGGATGTCTTGAGTCCCAGTCTTCTTCCTAGTCCTTTGCCGAGACCCAAACGTCCATGCACAGCTCTATTTCGCCTCCGATTCAGGCGCCCCGCCCCCCTTGAGCGGAGATGGTTTCCCCTTTCCAGACACCCTCACGGCTCCCCGTTACCTGATTCTAGGGCGTCCCAGGTGTTCAGACTCCCCAAGGTGTCCTTGGGGGTCGAGCGGCCCCCCCCCTCCCAGGCCGGGGCTGGGGGGGCCGCTCCGCCCCGTGGCGCAGTTGGATTTTCCAACACAAACACCGCCCCCCCTCCCCAACCCCGCCCTCTTCTCGTGATCCCGCCCCTCCTCGCGCCGAAGTCCTCCCTCTCGGGCTCTGCCCCGCCTTCTGCTGGTCCAGCTCGCCTCAGCGCGGGTGCCGAATAGGATGCCGAATGCGGGCGATCCCTATCTGACAAACTCCTGTTCCATTTGGATCACGCGCCTTTCCAGCGTAGGCCCCGCCCCCATTCTAGTCCGCGACTTGGCCACACCCTCTTTAAGCCCCCACCTCCCAGTCCTTTCATTCGAGGCCACGCCTCTATCTCAAGGCCTCCCACTTCCCATGCTCTTTTCCCCATTCAGTATCCTCTCACGGAAGCTCCTATCTTCTGTAAGGCTTGGACTTCCTCCCTCCCCAAACCCTCACGATCCCATTGACAGACTTAGGGCTTGTGGTCTCGGGTGTTTTACTGCGCTGAGTTCCAATACAATTCTTCCACCTTTATGGCTAGCACGCTAGGTGTCTCCAGGGCCTCGTCACACAACAAATTCAGCCAAGGTCAAGGCCTGAGTGAGGTCCAGCCTCCGTCTGAGGTGCATTGTCAGCTTTGGCTCCTAGAGTCCCCGACCCTCTCTCAAGCCAGGAAGAAGAGGAGGCCTTCTCAGTTGTCCAGGCTCATGAGTAGAGCAGTGCCCCTCTTGATCCAATGATCTGATGTCATGGTCCCACACCGGAGGTCGATGCCAATGACAAAGGAGGCTCTGTCTGAGCTGCCCGCCCGGTTGGGATAGTAATAGCAGGGACAGGAGTACATGCCTGAGGGAAAGGAGAAAAGAAGGAGTCAGGCCCTTTGGAGTCTCTGGGAGAGCAGGGCAGGAGCAGGTGTGGGGAAGGAATGGAGCAGAAGATGGGTTAGGATCCAAACTAGGGATGGGGCAGACAGGTCTGAGGGAGCTGTCCCACCCTTGGCGCTCTTCTTTCGACTCTCTGTAGGCCGAAAGTGGATCGTGGGCATGAGGCAGACGAGCTGCATGGGTTCTGCCTCCACCAAGCAGGAGTTCTTCTGGTCCCAGCCAGCACCCTCCAGGTACAGGCCTCGAACCCAAACACCATCCTGGGGAGACATGGGGACAGATTGGAGGGAAGTCTAGACCTTGGTTGCCAGCACCCCTGACCTGCCATCTCTCTTCTCCCTTCTCAACCAATTGTTTCCCACCTTTGCTCCCAGCACCCTCCTCCATCAGACCCAAGCACATCTGGCTCCCACCTTGGGTGGATACACTAGGTTGCCGTCATCCACAGTAGAAACGATAAACTCCCAAGAGAGGCCGTCCACTGAAATCTGGGGATTGAAGGTGAGAATAAGGGAGGACCTCCCAAGAGGAGAGTAAATACATGTCCCCAGCATCTAATGCCCATCACACTTTTCACATGGCTCACATTGTTTTGGCGAGCTGAAGACTGCAGTACAGCAGTGAGGAAGCCAGTGGGAAAGGTGAAGCCAGACAGCCAGAAGATCACAGGAGGCCGAGCACGGCTAGCCCACAGCTCAAACTGTTCCACACGCATGGCTAAGTCCCGGGTCCATGCAGCCAGTGGCTTTTGTGAGGGATATGCCTGGAGAAGGAGGCAGTGTGTGTTTATTCATGCATTCAAGTCTTTTTATTGAGCACTTGGAGCAGCTATGAGAAGACTATGTGGTGTCAGCTCCTGCTCCCCAACTTCAGTTGGGCAAAGCACTCCAAAAGCCAACTCCCAGGAAAGAAGCATAAATGACAGCTATTTATTAAGAATAGCAACAGTAATAGTAACCAGTTACCATTAATGAAGCACCTACTAAGTGTTATACACAATACTTGGAATCCTTGAAACGTCCTTGGAGAGGTTAGTAACTTGCCCTGAGTATGCTTCTAAGTTAATAACTTGTGCAAAGTCAGTCAGTGAATGGCAGACCCAGATTTTAACCTTGAACCTGTCTGGCTCCAAAGCCCAGGCTTACTGCATTTTGCTACATGCCGACCTAGAATAAGGAGATTGAGGGCACAGCGTGAGAGGGGAGCTCATTGTTGGAGTAGGATCAACAGTAGTGTGATCTTGCCTTTCCCCAGAGTGGAGGGACATGGGCGTGAAAGATGCAATTGAAAATCTCTTCCAGGCTTGTAGACATGACGATGAGGCCCTGGATGCCTTTTTCCAGGTCTGTCAGTGAGAACCTAAGCAGGATAGGGTGGAGGGTTAGGGATGGAATGAGTCTGGAAGAGCCATCCTAGGCAGAGGGTGAAGGCCTTTCCTGTTGCCCCCTCCCAATGTTCCGCAGAGCCCCTCTCCATCTTACAGAATGGTCTCCATAAGCTTGTTGTATCGCTGGATCTCCTGCAGAAGGACCACATTGAGTGGGGAGGGGTCCAGAGCCAGCAGTTTTTGGGTCCCCTCATAGTCGATCATTTCAGGGATCTTCTGTTTCACATCAGTGGCCAACTCAAGGACCTGATGAGGCAGGAGCTCTGAGTGCAACCCTCTCTTCCTAATGGCTTTCCCTCCCCCAGGTGTCTGTCTCTTCTTACCTTCTCTTCCCGGCTCTGGCCTCCAGCCCTGGTGGGTGTAATCTGGGGTTGCAGGGAAAGCAGAGTCACAAAGAGAGTTCGTGCCTCAGTGATCTGGGAGGCCACATCCGCATTGGGGTGTTGACCAAAGGCCTCAGGGGGATCCATGCCAGGCAACATGCTGATGTACTCCTTGTAAGAGGCCAGGCTTCCATCCTTGGGGATGAAATAAGTCTCCAATACTGACAACCTAGGGAGCCACAGCATCATTATCTCCACATTGTGGGGACTCTGGAGCTTCAAATACCAGGCCAAGACTCTAGTCCCTGTGTATGTCCCATTTGTCCAACACTCTGCTCTTGCTCCACCTCCCAATCCCACACACACTGCCTTCTCCCAATCTCATATTCTCTCCTCAAACACTTCCCCTACCCTCTATCCTGCTACCTGATCTCTTTGTGTCCTCTGGCCCCTGTTCAGTGCCACCTCCCCCTCACCGGTAAAAGGGGGTTGATAGAGACTGGTCACAGAAATAGTCATTGATGTAAGTGGTAAGCAGACGCCGATCCCAGTCATCTGTGACGTGCCCACCGTAGTTGACGCCGGCAATGAGGTACTTGAGCGCATCCCAGGGTGTCTCTTCATACTCATCCAGATAGAGGCTCAGCAAGTTTTCTGATACCTGTGCATGGTCCCAGCCCCACACACAGTTATGGCAGAAACTCTTCCAATTGGGCTTTAACACAGGCTTTCTGTCAGTGGATATTCCCACAGGGGAGCCATGGGGCAGGAATTATAAGGAGAGAGGGCTGGAATAAGGGATCCCTGGTTAGCACAAACCTCAAAGTCAGAGTCATTGAAGCCATAGACAATGTTCCAGCCAAGCTGCAGGAACTTTTTGCGTTCAAGTAACACAGAGTGGAAGAAGCAGAGTGCAAACAGCAGCTTCTTATACTTGGCAGGTTTGGAGCAACGAGAAAACTGTGGTTCCATCATCAGTTGGTAAAGACGTGTCATGTTGGCCTTTAGGCCCTGAGAACAATAAAGTATAGCGGGACAGACAGAACTTCAGTTACCACAGTCCCAGTGGGGACAAAACCAATTCTATTTCTTGATTTTCATGAAAATGTTTAAATAATCAAAGTCTCTCTTTCTGTATCCGCATTTTTATGACTCATTTCAAAAGTTCAGAATCACATTTTACAAAATCCAAAATGGACGGTAGAGAACATTTATCTCATAGATGAGGAAAAAAGGCTTAAAAGAAAATATCTTGCCCAATTTTATATAAGTACTTGCTTTGGATGTTTTCTTCCATTTTTATTTATTATAAGAATAATATTATGAGATTAACATTTTTTAATGAAAAAAGTATGCAAAATGCAACTAGTACAACATAGTACCTACAACATAGTACCTACAGTTAAATATGTTAAGAGGCTAGTTTGCATGTTAAGTTTTCTCACAACAAAACAAAACAAAACAAAACCCATAAAACACCACAAAAGAACACAAAGAAATTTTTTAAGGTAATGGCTATGTCTAGTGCCTTGATTGTGGTGATGGTATCACAGGTGTAGGCATAGGTCCAAACCTATCAATGAATCTTGCTCAGCCCTGCCACTAGCACCACCATGTACAGCTATGGAGGTTGCTCACTGCACAAGGGCACTGGCTGAAGGAATGATTGGATGCTGAAATTTAGCCCTTGTTCTGCATACCAAGATGTGCACTCATTCACAAGGCTGGGTGCCTTTCTCTAATTCACACACAGGCACTGTATGGGTTAGTGGCAATCCTACCTTCTTGTCACCCAACTTTTGATCCTCTCAGCCATAGTGTTCTTAATGGTGGGTAGTCCAACTCAATTTGGGAGTACCAAAAAATAGGAACAAAGATATACATGCAACTATGAATGAACAAAAATATCCACTATTATGTGAAAAGTTTCAGTGTAAATTAAAAGGGCCATAGTATATCATCAAGGAGGAATATTCTACGTGATTGGATTTATCAGGCTTCATGAACAAGCTGAGATTTGAACTAAGTCTTACAAATGGGAAGGATATGACTAGGCTGAGAGGAGAGCCTCGGTTTCTAGGAGATGGAAAGAACGGAAGGAATAAAAACACAATGGGGAGAATAATTGAGATGAATTTAACTAAAGTAAAGTGCAAGTGCTCAGGTGGGGTAAGAAGGGCCGTTAACAAATGGAGATGCAATAAGAACGGCAGTTTGAGCCATTTGGACTTGATTCACCAGGCCACTTTCTGTCTTGAGTAGAACAGTGATACGTTGAAACAATGTTTTAAGGAGCTTCATCTATGATGGACAGAATGGAATAGTGAGAAAACTAAAGTAAGAATATTGGATATAGCAGTATCAAAAATTATGATTTTTTTAAAATGCCGTTTATAATATCATCAAAATATGTAAAGTAGGAATAAATCCAATAAAATGTACAAAGCTTTATAGAGAAATTTACAAAACTTGATTGAAATAAAGAATAAATGAAGAGACATAACTATCTTCATGGATTGGGAGGCTCAGTATCCTGAAGATGTCAATTTCCTCCATATTGATCGATAAAATTTTTTTGTGGATCTTGACAAGCTAATTCCAAAATTTATGTTGGAGAGTAGTCTGAAGAAAAATAAGGTAAGGAGACTTGCCTTACCAGCTATCAAGAATTATTATAGAGCTATATGGTAACTAAAACGGTGTATAGTGACCCCAATATAAACAACTTGATCAACCAGCAGAATAAAGGGCCCAGAAATATATACATGGAAACATGATTTAAGGCTGAGCAGGCATTGCAGATCACAAGGGTGATTGTGGGCTATTCAATAACGGTACTGGGAGAATTGGTTATGGAAAAATATCAGATCTCTACTTCATTCCACACTAACAAAAATCAATTTGAAGTGACTAAAAACCAATATGTGAAAGTCAAATTATAAAATGGTTTTGAAGAAAAGTATAAGAGAGGGCCTTTACAAACTTGGAGTAAGCAAAGATTTCTTGAACAAGTCATAGGAAGACAAACCATAAAAAAGAAGATAGCTAAATTCAACCTCATAAAGATTAAGAATCTCTATTCACTGAAAAATAACATAAGTAAAAAAAGACAGCCCACAAAACACATAACTGACAAAGGTAAGAATCTGGAGTATAAGAACTAGACAGCATGAAGAACAGCATGAATGAATGTCAAGTACATAATATTGAATGAAAAAAGCAAGTTGCAGAGGAATGTATACAGCATGGTTCCATTAGCCATACAAACTTTTGTGTTAAAATTGTAAAGAAAAAGTGACAAACAGAACAGTCAGAATAGTGGCTTCTTCTGAGTGAGGGGTGAAGGCGATGAGATTGGGGAGAAGTGCATCAAGACTTCAAAGAAAATGGTATTCTTCTTTCTTATACAATATGATGAGCACACAGGTATTTATTGAATCTCAACCCTTTACATTTTGCCTATATTTTATAAATATTCTTTTGTATCTACTAAATATTTAATTTTTTTTAAAAAGACTGGATAGCAGGCAGTGATCAGCCTCCAAGAACATACTCCAGACTATACCCAAAAGTGGCAACTGGGGACTGTGATTATGGGGATTTTCTCTTTTTTTTTGCTTGAAAAAAATATATATATAATTATATATATATTATTATATTATATATTAATTATATTATTATATATAATTGTGAAATACACTTTTTAAAATTAGTTCCAGCTGTACAACACGGTTCAATAGTTATACTTTTTACCCCTCAAAGTGATAACCCCTTCCCCCAATCTGCCACCCCACTTCCCCCCGCCAATATCACACATATCTACTACAATTCCTTTGACTCCACTCCCACACTATACTCCACATCCCATGACTATATATATGTATTCGCTTATAGTTGACATACAATATTATACAATATCAGCTTCAGGTGTACAGTGCAGTGATCAAGCCTCTACCCCATCCATGATGTGGTCTCCCTAACAAGACATGTGACCATCTGACACCCTACAAAATATTAACATTATTAATTATATTCCTTGAACTGTCTTTCATATCCCTGTGGCAATATTGTAGTTACCTATTTATGCTGTCTAATCCCTTCCCTTTCTCCCTCACCCCCACCCTCCTCCCAACTAGCAACCATCAGTTGTTCCTCTATATCTCTGAGACTATTTCTGTTTACTTTGCTCATTCATTTGGTTTTTTAGATTCCACATATAAGTGAGATCATATGGTATTTGTCTTTCTCCGACTGACTTATTTCACTTAACATAATAGTCTCTAGGTCCATCCATATCATCCCATATGGTACAATTTCATTCTTCTTTATAGCAGAGTAATACTCCATTGTATAAATGTACATATAAATGTACATGTTTCTTAATCCAGTTGTCTACTGATGGGCATTTCGGTTGTTTCCAAGTCTTGGCTATTGTAAATAGTGCTGCAATAAACATAGGGGTGCATATATTTTTTCGAATTAGCGTCTTGGGTTTCTCTGGATAGATACCCAAGAGTGGAATTGCTGGGTCATACAGTAGTTCCATTTCCAGTTTTTTGAGATACCTCCATACTGATTTCCATAATGGCTGCACCAATTTGCAGTCCCACCAACAGTGCACCAGGGTTCCCTTTTCTCCACAACCTCGCCCGCACTTGTTTTTTGATTTATTGATGATAGCCATTCTGACTGGAGGGATTTTCTTATTTGAAGTTAAACTCAGATGAACCACTGCCCCCTTGGGCTGACTTTGTATATCCTGATGCAAAAACTGGCTTCTTTCATACAACAAAATGGCAATACTTGATTTAGAACGGATCCTGTGCTGGGGATGGAAGGGGATTTATAAAGGACATGATTGAGTCATTTAACAAAATTGGAATACATAATATTTTTAGATTAAAATATTGTATCAATTTACTGACGTTGGCAACTGTGCTGCAGTTATATAAGAGAACATCCCTATTGTTAGGGTTGAACCATTTACACTGAAATACACTGAAACATTTAGTGGTAAAGGACCATGATATATGCAACTTGCTCTCAGATGGTCCAGAAAAGGTGTGTGCATCAATAGAGAAAGAGAACCAGAGAGGGAAATCAAATGATATGGCAAGTGGGGCAATGTTAACAATAGATGAATCTGGGTAACATATTGGGTGTTCTTATAACTTTTCTATAAATTTAAAATGATTTCCAATAAAATATTTTAAAATATTGGCCTCTTTGTTAACTTCCAAAAGAAATCCAGTTGTACCAAGTAAACCCTGAATGTTTTACTTCTACTGAAGGACTGAAGGTATGGCGGACTGCATGGAGGTTCTGCCTTTCACAGGAAGCACTCCAGGGCAAAGCCAGGATGGACCCTCTCCTCTTAGGATTGCCCCATTACAGAGCCATCCTCTCTGATTCCTCTCTCCTTCCTCCTAGGGTTCCTTCAGATTCATCATTTCCTCCCATTTCATTATGCAGATCTAAATAGCACCTACCTCTGCACTTATACACCTCTACCCATCACAGGGTGCTCAACCTATAATAGTTACCAAGGCACAGACCTCTCTTAGAAGGCAAAAAAAAAAAAAAAGAATATATTCTGTTACACTGGAGACATATTTCTGGACCATTCAAGATTTTTTAATGGGGGCACAGAATACTTTTGTTGGGAGAAAAGAATTAAGGTAAATAAAAATCAACCTTAAACAAATTTTTAAAGAAATTAGTGGCTTCATTAACAAAAATAAGATGGGGAAATAATCTATGGTGGAGAAGCTGATGACTTGTTTTGAGAGTGTGGGGGTTTATGGTGCTGGCGTGCCAAGAAGAAATGTTTTATAACCAGATGGAATTCAGACCTGGAACTGAATTTGATACTGGAGCCAGAGATGGGGATTGGAGTTGAAATCAGGAAAAGGACAATTTCTCTGTCAAGTTGTGAAAAGAGAAAATGTAGAATAAGAAAAATTGGGGCCGGCCGAGTGGCTCAGTTGGTTAAGAGCTCGCTCAAGAGTTTGAGCTCTGAGCAACAGCAGTTCGAGTCCTGGCCCAAGCTGAGCAGCCACTGAGCTGCC